GGCCTCACAACACAACTCATTCAAACATTATTAACACATCAAGGAAAATGTTCATATTATAATTTTTTTCAGTAAATGGCTGAAGCTGACGTGATTGTCATGACTACATCAATTAGATATGAGACAGCACAGAATGTCTTGTAAGTGAAATCTGGCAAAGTGAAGTGAGATGTAATAATGTAATCAATCTCAGTGTAGACAACGTTAAAGCCTGAGTTAAAACATATTCACTAGGGTGTAAACCTCAGGCGTCCGCACAGTACATTATAAGTTCAATTCATATGGAAAGAGATTGATAGTTGATGTTACCACTGAATCTTCTATGATGTAATACATCTCCATTCTAGTAGCTTTTCATTTCAATTCTATTCTCTTCCCCTCCGAAAGTATTGGAACAGCAAGGCGGATTCAATTATTTTCGCTATATCTTGTTGCCCAGGTGTGTCCTGTTAGATTGACTGTATAAACAATTAATAGCGATGAATGTCTACTTGGTTTGAGGCCTGTGTTTCACCTGTGAAGTTCTTTTTTACCCACCAGTTCTTATGGTGCACCGATTCATTACAACACTTAATATACACGTGACATCACAGAAATAGCAAATCTTTAACAGCATGTCTGCCATAACAGGGTTGAGTAGGAAAGTTTTTTATATAGAATATTGGAGCTGTGAGTTGATGCATATTATCTGAGGCATTGTGAAGAATATGAGACATGATTATTAAAATTGGTGATGTAATTACTGTAGAATATTTCTGTGTATTTCACAACCTTTATAAGCAATAGCAAAAACGTTTTTGACCTCTTCGAGTTTCAGCCTTAAGTTTGTTCTGAACTAAAAACATTCACGAATGTATAGTTATTCTTAAAAATAAAAATATTGCTTCTAATCGGATATTTCTTTTTAGTTTTGATTAATTTATTTATATTTAAATTTCTGTTTCAAATATCTTATACTGTTTATTTGAAATCAAATTGTTCTGTGCAAGGAAAATCAACAGTATGGCAGTGAACTGACCATGTGATTCAATTTGCTAATCGTTCAGGTGGAAAAGAGAACAAGATGCCCATCTTGATTTCTAAGATCTTCAAAGGACTCGCAGCAGACCAGACTGAAGCTCTGTATGTTGGTGACGCCATTTTATCTGAAGGGAAAAAACGCACAAAAAAAAAAAAAAGAAAAAAGGGGAAAAAAACGAAAAAAAAAAAGGAAAGAGGGGGTTTGGTGGGGGGGAAAAAAAGGGGGTATTTTTTTTTTTTTTAAATTTTTTGAGTCTTTCATGCAAAAATGAGCTAGTCAATTTATTCATATATATATATATATATATATATATATATATATATATATATATATATATATATATATATATATATATATATATATATATAAAAACATTAGGACGCTGGGACAGTTGTGGAGGGAAGCACCTCCAGGGTTGGGGGTTCGAATTCCGCACTCCGTCCAGGTTGTCCCACGCCTTGTGCCCTGAGTTCCCTTGGAAATGCTCCTGGCTCCACCATGACCCTGCATAGGATTACCAGTATGGAAAATGGATGGATGGATGGATGGATGGATGGGATATATAAGTAGGGACTCAGCAAACAGTGAGATCAGCATGCAGTCAGGATGTTCCCTGACTTAAGAGATTTAAGAAGGCTTTAGATCAGTGGTCAACAACCCTCTTCCTTGAGATCCACCTTGCTGCAGGTTTCATCAACAACCAAAATCTAACACACTTGTTTTAATTGATCATGAACTTCTCAAGGCAATTATAGGTGGTCAGGTGGTTGGTGCTAAAGGCTTCAGGAAGGTAGATCTCCAGGAACAGGGTTGGTGACCACTGCTTTAGATGAAACTGCCAAACAGCAGTCTCCAAGATTGTCCAAGGTTTTGAAAGTACACCATCATATCTTTAAGAGTAAATAAGATGAGTGAGGTACAATGCTGAACAGTTTACACATTCAATCTTCCTTAATGATAAATTGTAATCTGAAATTGTCAAGCTGTTTTGTCATCGTGTTTTTAACATACTTGGAAAGGCGCCACACTTTCCATTCCATTATCTTGTCTATAGACAACTTGCTCTTTGAAAATATGTGGTGAAACATAATGAACCTAAAGGAGTACAGAGCAAAAGTCATTATATTCTGCTAGAGTCATGAAAAATGAGAAAGGGTGTATGACATTTTACGATAAATCGCAGAGCAGAAGAATTCTTTCACATACATGGGGACTGAGGTTCACGTTTAATTCGAGAGCAAATTTAACACTGAGGTTCCGTGTGAAAAATGTTCTGCCATTGTAGCCAAGGAATCTCAACAGACTACAGACAAAGTGAAGGTCGGGTAAATGTACCCATAAAATACTGCAGATGAAATCATAAAGCTACAGCTGGTCTCTGGCGATGACCTCATCTCAGCCTCGCCCTCGCATGCACGTGAAAAAAAATACAATCCCACACCATCCCACACACACGCACAAATTCAGTAAGCCCTACTACATTTAATACTGCATTCTTACCACTGTCATTTACACAGACATGTGGCTATGCATATGGTCATTCAACAATCTGGCATTGTCTTCACGGTAAAATAAATGAAACACTTTGGACAGTGTGAGGAGTGTGAGCTGTGTCTTAAACACTGCTGACTGCTTTCTCAGTTTAGCTTTATATCCCACCCAGCAGACATCATGCTCAGGCACGGGTTCAGTGAATAAATCAATGTGAGAAGCGAAGCACACTAGCGCTGTGGATTAGCTGCCAAGGCAGGTTGCCAGATCATAGCGCAACATTTGTTCTATAATAAATCATTGAGAAAGGCTTGGACTACATTTGATGTGTTAATGATCGTTGTTCGATAGTGTGTCATGCTAGTACATTTTAGGTGTGAGGAAGTTCAAAATGGAAAGAGATGCATTTAGAGGCTGTGGGAGTGAAACGAACAAATAGATGGAATGAGAGAAAGAAGACTGAAGAGTTAACTGGATATGATAAGTGCTATAAAGTGCCATATCAGCATTTTACCTCCTGTAATAGGGCTCTTAGAAATGGAAAAGTGCAACTATGAACTGTGTGTGTGCGCATGTGTGTATAGGTGTGTGTGCGCACACATTCTCACTATGCTTTCTCCTTTTCCAACACAGATAGAGGGACCGGAGGAAAACAATTATTTTATCCCCCCTACTGAGAAATGGAGATATAGAGTCCACTAATTGATTAATTAAGTAGGAACAGCGTTGCGGAAAGGGAACATGACAGAATGAGAGAGCGTGAGAGAGAAAAGAGAAAAAAGAAGATAGAGAAAAAAAAAAAAAAAAAAAAAAAAAAAAAAAAAAAAAAAGAAATGGGATAGTAGATGTCACAAAATAAAACAGGCTCAGTTGCTTATGGTAACAAGTAAACTAAATAAACTCACACAGACAGGAACAGCCAAACACTGCCAGTTTGGGGTGTGTGTGTGTGTGTGTGTGTGTGTGTGTGTGTGTGTGTGTGTGTGTGTGTGTGTGTGTGTGTGTGTGTGTGAATTATGGTCTTTCTCACCCTAGTGTGGTGAGAAAAGCTGCAATGGATAACAGCAATTTTCACGCATCCTAAACTCCATTACTCACGAACAAATGCTCCCCTAGGCTTCTGTTTCTACTCATGTCCTACACACCGGTCCTTCTGGGCATCATATAGACGCCAGAGCCTGTTAGTGAAATACAAGCCAATGAAGCTCATTTCTGTCTTCAGTGCTGTTAAAAATTTCCGTGATTTTAACACATTCTCTGTGGTTTACTCTAAGAGTTACAGGACATTTTATTGTGATATTTTGCTGGCCGTAGTGAGTCAGGAACATTGCCAGAATTGCTAAGGGCATTTCAGTTCTGTATGTACACTAATAGAGCACATTATTAGGAACACCTGTACACCTACTCATTCTTGCAGTTATCTAATCAGCCAATCATGTGGCAGCAGTGCAGTGCATAAAATCCTGCAGATACGGATCAAAAGCTTCCGGCAATGTTCACATCAACAATCAGAACTGGGGAAAAATGGAAGCTCGGTGATTTGACCGTGGCATGATTGTTGGTGCTTTCTGTAACTGCCGATCTTCAGGGATTTACACGCACAACCGTCTGTAGAGGTTACTCAGAATGGTGCTATAAAGAAAAAACATCCAGTTGGCACCAGAAACGCCTTGTTGATGAGATAGTTCAATGGTGAATGGCCAGACTGGTTCTAGCTGACAGAAAGCCTACAGGTAACCCCTTTGTAAAATTGTGGTGAGCAGAAATGCATCTCAGAATTCAGGCGGATGTGCTACAACAGCAGAAGACGATGCCAGGTTCCACTTCTGTCAGCCAAGAACAGAAAGCTGATGCTGCAGTGGGCTCCAAAACTGGACAGCTGAAGACAGGAAAAACGTAGCCTTGTCTGATGAATCTTCATTTCAGCTGAGGCACACAGACGGTTGAGTCAAAATTCGGCTCCAACAGAATGAATCTGTGGACCTAACTTGCCTTTTGTCAACAGTCCAGGCTGGTCGAGGTGGTGTAATGGAATGTTTTCTTGGTGGTAGAATGGGAGAGTCGCAGCATGAAAGTGCACCAGAAATATCTGCAGGAATTGCATGATGCAATCATGTCAACATGGACCAGAATCTCAAAGGAATGTTTCCAACATCTTGTGGAATCCATGCCATGAAGAATTGAGACTGTTTTGAGAGCAAAGGAAGGCCCTACCCAGTATTAATATAGTGTTCCTAATAAAGTGCCCAGTGAGTGCATGTCATATTTGCTATATGGTAATTTATTTTCTTTATATGGCATTTAGTGCCACTCAGAGGATATAGCAAACCATTCAGAGTTAAACAGAGTTGATCGGAGTAAAAGATTTGTGTGGTTTTCTGTATTGCAACATATAAAAGTTAGATTCTACCTAAAGGAGTTTACGTCTTAAAAAGTTAGATAAACATAAGTCGATTATATTTTGGGCACCATGGTAGTACAGTGGGGGCGCACGGTGGGGGCGCACGGTTACCACATTCGCCTCACACCTCCAGGGTCCGGGGTTCGATTCCCCCCCGTGCTGCAGGGGTTTCCTCTGGGTACTCTGGTTTCCTCCCCCAGTCTAAAGACATGCATGGTAGACTGATTGGCGTGTCTAAAGTATCCGTAGTGTATGAATGAGTGTGTGAGTGTGTATGTGATTGTGCCCTGCGATGGACTGGCACCCTGTCCAGGGTGTACCCCGCCTTCTGCCCGATGCTTCCTGGGATAGGCTCCAGGTTTCCCGTGACCCTGAAAAGGATTAAGCGGTAGAGAATGGATGGATGATAGTATTGTTGCAGCCTCACAGCTGTAGGGTCCCCAGCTTAAATCAATCCCGAGATCAGATTTCTGTGTGTGTGGAGTTTCTCATGTTTTCTCTGTGTTTGTGTGGGTTTCCACCGGGTTCTCCTCTTTCGTCCCGCTGTCCAAAAACATGCAAGTAGGCCGATTGCTTATGCAAAATTGCCCCTAGGCATGAATGAGTGTATGTGTGCATGGTGCCCTGCAATGGACTCAGTCTCATTCATTCATTTTAATATAAGTTAGGGACCTAGGCTATATGTTGTAAGTAAAATTAAATAGAAAATTATATTGCATGAACTCTATTACAATTGACTACTAAGACAGCTACACAAATGAGGTTTATTGAACTGCTGTCAGCTATTAATAAGTGCTGCATTAGTAAAGAAGAGTGGTGCCTGCCCTCTGTGTAGTAGACAGTAGAGAGGTGCACAGGAAAAGAGGAATATTATGGTGTTCTGTGAAGATGGGGAAATAAAAATGTTCTTGCAATTTCATCAGGAACAGAGAAAAGCTTAATAGTATTCTGAAATGAAAATAGTAACAACCATGAGAGGACTTTTTTTTTTACAGGACATTTTACTTCCAGATAACACAATATTAGAAGTAAAAATCCCATTTAGCTGGGCTAAGCTGTGTCATTTGTTCTCAATTTAACACCATCATGTAGAAACTCGTATAATACCACCCTGAGAAAAGCCAATCAATCCAAAACGCAAGAATGATCTTCACACATAGAAGTATTTCACTATGTAGATTGGTGAAGCCAGGTTTAAAATAGCCCTGCTCTATTCTTTCTAATTTCACACAGTGACACAAGACGTACAATTTGCTCATTCATTAGACAAGTGCCTGTTAGGGTTTTAGTGGAACAGACCTAAAAGCGGCTTTTGGCAATAATTCATTTTGGTTGAACTTCACAAACATTATGTACCATTGTGATGGCTTTTAATCACGTGTGACTCATAATTAGAACGGTCCTTATCCATGATGGTCATGTGTGGTGAAATGTTGATTGTGAACTGAACCTACATCAATTCCTTGTATATTTCACGGTTGTATGATAAAACGCACGTCTGATCCGAGTGCCTGTAAACTTGAGAGCGACATTTCTAACAACCTGAAAAATGCCTGACCTGAAGTGGAATCATTAAGTCAGTATAAGTAAGTAGATGGGGGTTATTGGTGACTTAGTGGTTAGCACGTTTGCGTCGCACCTCCGGGGATGGGGGCTCGATTCCCGCCTCTGCCCTGTGTGTGCGGAGTTTGCATGTTCTCCCTGTGTTTCTGGGGTTTTCTCTGAGTACTCTGGTTTCCTCCCCTAGTCCAAAGAGGTGCATTGTAGGCTGAGTGGCCTCTCTAAATGGTCCAGTGTGTGAGTGTGTGAGCAAATGAGTTAGCCTCCCCCCCGCCTTGTGCACAGAGTTCCCTGGGATAGGCTCCAGGCTCCCCGCGACCCTGTGTAGGATAAGCGGTACTAATAAGCGGATTAGTAGTAGGCTATAAGGAATAGCAGTGTTTAACTTTTCAGACTGGTGAAACGGTTTTTGTAATGTTGTAACAATAGTTAGTTCTGATCCACTAATCTGATTAGACAAGGGGTGTTCCAAGAGTCCTGATATTTAGTGTAACAGATGCATTTCACTGTTTGTATCACTCCACTTGTCTGTGTTCACTATACTACATCTGTATGTTCCAATTACAGCAGTATTTCATTACACTGAAACTGTTACTACACTTAATCTATTCAGTCTGTGGGTTGGCACGGCAGCACTCTATCCAGCGGTGGCTTCTTTGGGAGCAATTTTCATTGATGGAGCAAAAATAAGCCAACTATTTGTCCATATTGTGTCTGTAATGTCAGTTACTAGATATTCATTTGTTGTTTCTAGAAGTTTTGTATACAAGCTGATCTATTGAATATCAGCATGGGTGTGATTACCTGTAGCCTCATGCTTACGCCAAATCACAGCCATGTTGATATTCAGTACAACAGCACTCTTTCTCGTGCGATATTGCTTGCCTTGCTGAGAAAGGAAGCAGATAGGAGAATGAATAATAATTCATTATTATTATGAATCTTAAAAAAAACTTGATGTGCTTTTTCGGGTCTCTATAATGTCTTATTCTCAAAGAACAATATAAGCAAAAAATAAGCACTAGTGCATTACTAGTCCATTTACTAGTTCATTGTCTCTATGAAGGTATTTCTTGTGACAATATTAAACACTCTTCCTGAATAGGATTTCCTTTTGTTGTATTAAATCTGTCCTGGACAGACAGGGGTGTGAATGATTTTACAATAAGTTCCTTAGTTCTTTCAAAAGACTGATCGGTATCCAAGTCAGGACTTGATTTTTCTCTGAAGTTTCACACTTAACTAAATTAACACCATTAGCCGTTATGGCCTTTTGTGCTGTATCATCAGAAAGTGCTAGCTTGTACCTCTGATAAATGATCCAAAGAGTTGGTTTTCAAAAGCATGCTTCACCCTGGCAGTGGGCCACTCATTTAATGAGCTCATGTGAGACATTGCCGATAAGGGGATCTTACGTAAATTGAGTTCTGCTAGTTATTCTGCTAATTTCCTCATCTGATCTCTGGAGGCTGCAGCATACTGAGCCTCATAAGCTCTCATCCCCACAGAAGCTATAGCATCAGTTTAAACGGAAAAAATATGCAGACACACTTACACACACATAAGCTCATACTTTCCCACAATGTTTACACAAGCTCACGTTTTTTAAATATTGTTTCATATTGCTGCATCTTGCATATGTGATTAAAACTGTTCAGAACCTATTATCTGTGTAAATGTGAAACAGTGCATAATTTGTACTTTTGTCAGCAGTGTTATTGTGTGTGTGTGTGTGTGTGTGTGTGTTTGTTCTTATTGGTACATTTTTTTTGCGGGGGCATTCTGAGGGACATTCCTGGCCTAACAGAGCTTTTACAGAGCCAAGCATGCTTCGGGAGTCATCGAATAGCCAATCAGGCGCATTCCAGCTTCACCCACGGCAACCGGGGAGCAGAAGAACACTGGGATAGGACGCCTTTGACTTGGCAACCCAGTCTTATGTTTGCCCAATGAGGCAGCAAAATAAACAACTGGAAAGATTGACCAGTAAGAAGAAACTGAATCTGAAACACAGAATTCCCACATATCACCGTTTACTTCCTTTGTGTTCAGAAGTGTAGGAATTTAACTTCCAGAAGATTCATGAACACCTTAACCCTTTAGGTGAATGTTTAAATGTTTAAAGAGGCCTCTCTCATTCTCTTGCTCTCACTACTGTAGAAATTCAGTTAAAAAAAAAAGCGGTTTTCTTTAGTGTATGCTGCTATTGGTTAAATTTGGTCTCGGTGTTAAAGGGGATTTCCGCATATTTTTCTTCCTGCATAGTTCATTCACTGTATCCGCTCACGGAGAATTAAACAAAGTCATTTGGGTTGCTTTGATAAAAATACACTGTTATAGAGAAACTTATTAAGGCAAAACTGCTATCAACAAAACAGTGATAGGAGCCTAGGGCTGTATTACATTAACCTTCTAACTATATAATCCTATCTTATCTGTATACTAACCAGTATCAGCTACAGTATTACACACTTGATAATTTTTTATATCTTAACTCCAAATAAGGAGAAAAGCTTGCATAAGTTTACTAACTTGCCAACATCTCAGATAACCCCAAGAATTTTTTTAACTTCTTATTTAAAAAAAGTTTTAGTACAAGTCAAATTTAAACTTTTTAAAAAGAATTAAAAGCTTCTGTCTCTTGTTAGATGTTGTGCTTGCTTCATAAGAAACAATGACAGGTTGAATAACGTTAGTTTGCTTACTAGCACAGAGGTATTGCATTAGTTTATCATTCAATAGAGTAAATCAGTGCTTAATGATTGAACAAATGATCAAGAGTGTGTTAATGTTCACTTTTTACAGAGGATAATAAAACTCATGGTTCATCAACCTTGAATTGCAAATTCTATAAGAGCCCTATTGTGTGCAATTAAAGTGAAAGTATATTAAATCAATATAAATACACATGATTGTGGAAGGCCCCAGCGTGTTAGAGAACATACCTAAACACATCATGAAGCTCAAAACATCTACAGGACAAAGTTCTGGATAAGTTTCATTCAGAGTTTGGTTATACAATTATAGGAGAAACTTTGAACATCTCATGGAGCACCGTTAAATGTTACTATTTTAACAAATGGTACTAATGTGGTACAAAAATGACTGCCTAGAGGAGGCCATCTACTAAAATTAAGTGGTAAGGATGGCATTAGTCAGAGAAGCAACTAAGAGACCTAGGGTAACTCTGAAGGTAACTCTAAATCTGAAGCTGTTCACAGGCTAGAAGAAAGCCATTACTGGGGAAAAATATATATGAAATCACATGTAGTTAACAAAAAAGCATATCTGAGACTCAGAAAACGTGTGGAAAAAGGTTCTCTGGGTTGATGAGACAAATATTTCCATATTTTGGATTGGGAACAAAGTGATACTTTTGGATGGAAGCATCATGTTGGCGAGATGCTTTTCATCAGCACAGAATGGGAAACTGATCAAGGTTGAGGGCAAGAAGGGTGGAGCCAAATACAGGGGTATCTTAGAAGAAAGCTGTTCCAGTCTGAAAGCTTTTCCAGACTGTAGTGGAGCTTCACCTTCCAACAGGACAATGACCCTGAGCAACACAAGAGTTATTCAAAACCATGAATCGAAAAGTATTGAGA